AGGGCCTTTTTAAAAGCAATATTGATAGACTCTTTTCCTTGTATTCATAGTTCTTTGTTTCTTATCGTTATTGTAATTTATTTTCTTCATAGTTATTCTGTAGTGTGTGTGTGTGTGTGTGCACATGTCTGTGCATGTGCATGCACACACACGTCACCAGAAGCAGGAGGATTTGACTTTGCCAGCTGCCTGGTGTCTTAGGTTCATTGTCCAGTTGCATTAGACAAGGTCTTTAACTGAGACTTGAAGGTATGTACACACTTCTGGCTGGACTTTCATATAGTGCAGCTCACAGAATACAAACCCAATGGGAAGTGAAGCACAATCAGAGAAATCTATATTCTAAGTCATGCTAGTTTCTCTTTGGAATTTAAAAACTGGATTTCTAAAAATTTTGTCATTTACTAACATTTGTAATCTCCAAATGGCTGATCCATGATGTTCCTTGTCATCTGCTCTCTGCCCAGTACATAATTAGAAATTCTTCAATCAGGGAATACGACAAGTAGCTGTAGTTTGCATGGCATGGAAAAGAAAAACCCTAAACAGATAAAAATATTTTTATGATGCTAACAAAGCAAACTGATTTGAAAGTAACTATTTACTTGATTGACACCAAGGGGAATGCGCATTTGTTTCTGGCCCAGCATGATGTAGGGCACAGAAGAAGCCCTCAATGAATGTTTGTTGAACTGAATTGCTGAACTGAGTAGACATAGCCAAGGGGAGTCAGTTTTAGCATTGGCAATACGGGGGCTACTTAGTCATTTGACCCTGCAGCATAGGGTCAATTGTACAGAAATCTTATTCAGATCCTGATTTTTAAAAATCAACTAGTTGAATCAATATCTTGTATAAAACATCCTTTAGAATCCATTTATGATAACTAACAAACCAAAGGAAGTTTTTTTGCTATACTCAACAGAAACACTGCACTGTGTTCGAGCAATCCAGGGAAAGCAGTAGAGAACAAAACAAAGCTGTGAAGGTGATATCAACTTTGGTATGGAAATAGATTCACAATAACAATGTGAAGAGCATCAACACTGGCATTCAGAATAAATTCACAATTTTTAGCCAGGAGAAAAAAATATTTCTATCATTGCCAAGTAGTTCTTTGCTGCCATGAAACAGGACAAACTATCCTGAGCAGTGAACTAAATGTTCTTGCAGTCTGATTATGTATAGATCTTTTCCTACATTCAATACTATAAAATCTAATTTTTTTGCTCTGCTCTTCTCTAAACCCTGTCTTAAGAGAAAAATAAATTCTGCAAACTATCTCAAATTATGATAACAGAAATGATAAATGCAGCCTCTCTCTAAACATTCTCTCTGGCAATCACTAGAACTAGAAATGCAACAAGAAGGGCTCTTGCTGCAGAGTGAATTTGGAAGACAGACTTAAAATCTGTCCTGGAGCCATATAATGCATCAAATATGACACACTAAAGCAACAATGTGGATAATATTGGAGAAATACATAGAAGATGAGCTAAATTAAGAAGTATGTGTTTACTATCCTGCACAAAGTGTCAACTATGGGAATTGGGCTCTGCTGATGTTACAAAACTATAGCACATTTCTTATATAGCACATTTCTTCAAGGATTTTACAAATGGCCTTTTGGTTTCTGTTGTCATAAGAGAAAGACAACAAACAAAACTAGATAAAGAGAATGGTGAAGAGACTGCTACTGATGAAAAAGAAATCGTATTTTTGCCCCTATGAATTCTGAGCCAGTTGAGGAAAAAGACAAAAGTCAGTAAATAAAAGCAAAATATCACTTTCATTAATGACAAAGGATAACTTGGGCAATATAGCATATGCAGTATTTTGACCCAAATGGACCTGCTAATAAACAAAGAGAATCAGGCAGACTTACCTGCCCCATTTCGGGTAGGGGCTGGGGGATGGGAGCCCCATGCCCTCCCCACCTGCCTCACCTGATGGGAAAATCCTCCAGCCCTGCTGGAGCTGAGGAGAATATCTGCTTCCGTGAGCCTCTTGCTCCCAAGATGGAGGAGGACAGAGTTAAGTTGGGTATCCCCAGTTTATTCTTTCCAGTTATACCAGTAGTTACTCTACCTCCCTAACGTTAGAAAGGTTATGGAGAAGCCAGCAGGTATACCGGTGTATGTCGTGGAGTGGGAAGATGTGTCAACTGGTACAAAATTGTTTCTTCCTGCCTATCTACGGTACAAAAGTACCTTGAGGGACACAATAAAAAAGATTTTTGTGGAGAGGAATTCTGAGTGACTCCTGTAAAATAACAGTTGTGCTGCATTAATTTTATAGGAAAGGGAAACCTACGTAATGATTTTTAAGTTCATCTGGAAGAATATATTTTTCAAATGATAAGAAGAAAGAAACCTAAAGATAGGAAAAAATGCATTGCAGTGCTAATTAATTAACATAGAGATGCAATTTGTGTAAAGACAAACAGAAATGACACAGAAGACAAAGTCCGGAAACATTCTCAAATATTGGTGGTTTTTCATTTCAATGGGGAAAATATCTGGATTATTCTGGATTATTCAAATATCTGGATTATATCTGGATTATTCAAATGGACCTTGAATTTGTCCATTAACTCCTCTGAGCCCTAATCTCTTCCTATGTAAACTGTGGGTAATAGTTCCTCTTTTCCCCGACTCACAATTAATTTCTTGAACAAAAAAGGAGAGAGAGAGAGAGAGAGAAGAGTATCTTTACCTCAAACTACAAAGCAAAATAAAACAAAAATAGATTGAATGATTAAATATAAAAAATGAAATAATCTGCTTTGGAGGGCATTTCTAACATAAAAATGAAAGAAGAAACAGTAAGGCAAAAAACTGATAAATTACACTATGCCAAATCTTAAAACATATTAAAGGATCCATGAAAATTAAGGGAAACATTTATAACATATACAACAAAATTTATATTATTAATACAAAAAGAGAATTCTTATAAAGTAATGAGAAAAATAGAAAATACCCCAATAAAAATATTCAAAATGATTTTTGAAAGTAATTTACAAAAGGAGAAATATAAATGGTCAATAAACATAAAATGTCAACCTGGTTTCAATGAAATTAAGGAAATACCATTTTTCCCATAAGAAATTGACAAGTATATAGAGACCCTTATAAATTTAAAGATAGGACACACAGTTTGTGAGGCATGGGAGTTGGCATGGAGAAGTGGCATTCTCAAAGACAGCTGGAGTTTAAACTGATGTAATCTTTCTAGAATGTAATTTTGAAATATGAATGAAAAGCCTTAAAAAATATTTCATTTCCTCTAACCCAGCAATTACATATCCAGGGATTTTTCTTCAGGAAACATTTAAGGATGTCCAAAATTATTTCAATACAAAGATATTTATCTCAGAGTTATGATAGCAAAAATTAGAAACAACCTAATAAATATTTAATAGTAAGAGACTGGCTAAATAAATCACAGTGAATCTTACACAGGAATTCTAGATAGCCAATAAAAAAGATGTTTGAGAAAAACAGGAGAAAATGATTATAATATATTCTTATTCTTGACTTCAAAAGTACATTTAAAATGTGATCTTCATGATGGTCTTAATTTTATTTTAAAAACTTGATTTGCAATCATCTTAAATCAGGGGTTGGCAAACTTTTTCTGCACAAGGCCAGGTAGTAAATATTTTGAGGTTTGCATGACAGATACGATTTCTGTTGCATGCTCTTATTTGTTTACTAACAACCCTTCAAAAATGTAAAGACCATTCTTATGTCTAGGATCATACAAATACAGACCATTGGCAGTAGTTTGCCAAATCTTGGTCTTAGATAAATGGACGTACTAGCCAAAAATTAATAGCGGTTGTCTGTGAGTAATAGAATTTGGGATAATTTTCATTTTCTTTATGCCTTTCCATATTTTCTAAATTGACTAATAAATCATAAATCATTTTAAACTGAAAGTTAAATGCAAAAAAAATTTAAAAGTCCTGTAAAAAATCTAAAAAGTTAAACCTAGATATTTCCATTTCTACCATTACCTCTGAGATTGGATAGTGAGAATTAGGCTGACAATATTATTATTGACTCTTAAAGCAAAAAGGAATTCTATCTGCTCATGCCATGATTTATGCAAGTTTTCACAGCAAAGAAACAAAAGATGTTCTTTTCACATGTCCTCAAATGGCTGTGTGTGTGCGTGTGCGTGTGGGTGTATGTGTGTGTGTTCAAGCTCTTGAAACCTCTTGGTTTCAACCTCTTGGGGATTTTTCAACCTCTTCCCTAGCTACTTCTTCCTGTCGGGCTACAGTCGGCATATGAAATAATAAATTGATTGTAGTAGACTAGTCATTATATTGAAGAAGAGAGCCATCAAGGAGAGAAAAAAAGTTCAATTGTATTAAAGAATAAAGTGCTGCTAAAGAGATTCACACAGTCTTAAATCATCCAGTTAGCTGAGTGTAGAAATCCCTGGGATCCAGGTCTCCTTTCTCTCCTAATAGTAAACATCCCTTTTCCTTCTGTGGAATGATACATCATCATAGTAGATCATAATCCTGTGGCGACAGATGATAAGCTCCTTTCTCAAGAACATTCTATTTCCAGGAGGACTGGATCCTCACACTCCACACACATGACTTCATGCCCCGACTCATACTGTGTCTTCCCATCTAAAATGTTCTTCCCTCCAAAAGAAACATTGTCTTTGTTGTCAGTCATCAATTTGAAATCTGGTTTTACCACTGTGATATTGTGATTTATAAGAAATTTCTCTTTGGTTATTCAGATGACCAAAATCTATTTCTCATGTATACGTGGTCTTTTTCCACAGTTCCTGGCTCACAGCTCCCCAAACCCTTGGACCTACCTAAGTGTTGAGAATAATAGAGATGTCTTATGTTTTATTAATGAGGGTGAGTTTTGGACCCCACCCAAGGGTGGTTGCCAAGAGGACCAACCATGTGATTAGAGAATTGGAATTCTCAATCCCTCACCCCCACCTCCCCACCCCTCACTCACCTCTGGAGAGGGGAGAGAGCCTGGAGGTTGAATCAACCAATGGCCAATGACAGTCAATCATTTCTATGTAATGAAATCTCCATAAAATCCCAAGAGAACTGGATTCAAAGAGCTTCTGGGCTTTCATCTGAAATTCAGTAGAAAATCAAAGAATTGGATTTAAGAAAAATTTCACTGTTTATGAGTATTGTACCCCATTTTATTCATATTAAAGCATGCTTAAGAATATATAATTTTTCCCATGTGGCTACAAAGTCTTTTATTATGATTTATTTATTTATTTATTTATTTATTTTATATATTTTTTAAGATTTTATTTATTCATTTGAGACACACAGATACAGAGAGAGCGAGAGCATGAGCAGGGGGAGAGGCAGAGGGAGAGGGAGAAGCAGGCTCCCCGCTGAGCCAGGAGCCTGATGCGGGCCTGGGATCATGACCTGAGCCGAAGGCAGACGCTTAACCATCTGAGCCACCCAGGCACCCCTTTTATTATGCTTTAAATAGGACATAATATTGCCTTAATTTGATGTGCAAGAATATAATAAGCTCTCTTTTTGTTATTGGACTACAATTTTGTTAGTATGAATAAAGGTGTTTTTACCTTTTAGGGTTATTTCCTTTAGGGTTATTTCAGGAATGAGATTAATGGGTTAAATACGACAATATTTCCCCCCAGCTGCCACCATTACCACACGCGCGCGCACACACACACACACACACACATACCCCTTAAATATCTTCAATAAATTCTCACTGGTCTAAGTCATGGTCCTTGGCACAATGTACAAGACTTTCATATCTTGCCTTGTCTACCTCTAGAGAGAATCCTCTGGTCACTAACTCACTTTATGTCCCAGTTGAATCAAATAATTCATATCCCAGGACAATCCCTGTTACCCCTGTCTCCTGCTCTTCCACACTGAATTCCTTTCCCAGTCTTACTTCTTCCCTCACTTCACCCCTCCCCAGAATGCCTGTCTGGAAACCTTCCCATTCATCCTTTAAACCTCCTCTGGGAAGTTTCTCTGCTTTGCATGCAAATGGATTCAACACATTCCTTTTCTGTGGCTACTGTTTTGTTTTGGTTTGGTTTTGGTATGATGGATGTCCGAGCCAAGAGCAGAGTTCTACTATTTACAAGTCCTTCTGTGTCATAATTATTTACTTACAAGTCCGTTTCCCCTGCGGAACTTGGGCTTCTTGATACCAGGAACCATTCCTTCTTAGCCTCTTCCTACCCTCCACCTGGCACCTAGTGTGGCCCATGCTTAGTAAATGTTTGTAAATCCCTTACATTTGGAAGGCATAAACAATTAATTTTACATTAAAAAGTATTTCCTGAAATTGCTTTAAAAACTATTTGTATTCATTATTAGTGCCACCAGAACGTAAGTGTGGAAGATCTTCACTATTTGCTTGCTCGCGTTGGGCAGTAGCTTCTTGTGACGGTTATATGTGACCATCAATGGTGGAAAAATATAACCTAAAACATAAAAATCATTACCTTATATTTCTCAGGTAGTAAGTTGGGGACAGAGAGTTGGGGTTACTTAATGAATTTGGCACCCTGAGTACCTCTCGTTAGGCTTCTTGATGAATGGGAAGACCCACATTATAAAATGCTCACCCCCAGACACATCTGCAAAGTGAAACATCAGCTGTGTTCATGCTTGTTTTGGGCCAAGTGAGAGTTTTTCCCTCCTTCATTATTCACAGCTGATTGCATGACTGTGGATTTCAAAAATCAAACACTTCCTTTTTCACATTCACACACATAAATTGAAGTCAACGTTATGTTTAAGTTCACTTCTTGTTTGGAAACAAGGCACACAAAATAAGGGCACCGGGTGACATTTTTACGCTCAGCCTTTTGGAAAGCTAAATAATTGTCTTTCTTCTCCAGAGTATATCTATTTTTGAAAGATATTCCCTGCTTCACCAATAGGAATAATCACAGGGGACTTTTCCCCCCTTAGGTGTTATTTTGATTTCAGGCATTAAGCTCTAATTGAGCAGCTGAAAGAGATTCTGCTATAAATGTTAATGATGGAGCAGCTTTTCTAATGAACGACAGCTGATGGGGGCCGGGAAGAAGGAGAAGGGAAAGCAAGCTGTACGAGGGGATGGGTTGTGCCATGGGTGAATAGTGACCCCTCAAATTCATGTCCACCTGGAGCTGCAGAGTATGACCTGATTTGGAAATAGGGTCTTTTTGGATGTAGTTAATTAACGATCCGGGGTTTCATGTGGGTCTTACATCCAATAATTGATGCCTTCTAAAAAGAGGAGACCCAAGAACACAGCCACGTTATGGCAGAGGCAGAGATTAGAATTATGCAGCCCCAAGCCAAGGAATGCCTGGAGTCTCCAGAACGTGGGAGAGGCAAGGAAGGGCTCTTCCCTAGAGCCGTCATAAGGAAACCGTTCCTGCTGCCACCTAGATTTCAGACTTCAGGCTCCAGAACTGTGAGTGAATAAATTTCTATTGTTGTATGCCACCAAGTTTCTGGTAATTTATTATGGCACCCACAAGAAACTAATACAGGTTGTATATGTTTGTGTGTTCAGCAGTTGTTTACTGCATACCTATTGTTTGTCATGCACCGTGCTAGGCATGGGGTACACAGTGCTAAGTGAGAGAGGCGTTAAATAAATGTTATACTACCATGAGAGCATAAAACAGAAAGTGTAGTTTGAGAGTTTGGGGAGACTTTTGCCCCAAATAAAGCAAACAATGGGTAGGATTGCTTCAGTAAATAGGGAAGATGATGGAGACCATTACACTAGAGGAAAGCTAAAAACTCTAAGGAAAGTGCCAACACTCTGAGATAATGTAGGAGCTTGGCAGGAGAGTGTGTCTGGATCATAGTGACTGGGAGATCAGTGGCACAAGATGAGGCAGGAAATGCAGCCAGGGATGACATCATATGGGCCCTTTAGGTTATGTTAAATGTTAGAGACAGTATTCTAAGGGCAATCACAAGTCTTCTGAAGAATTTTTGGAAGAGTGTAATGTAATTAGAGTTATTTTTAAGAGATCATCCTGGTTTCTTTGTAGAGAAGGAATTGGCAAAAGACAAGACTGGATGCAGGTCACCAGGTAGGAAGCCACTGCAGTGGTCCAGGAAGGAATCGATGATGCCCTGGACTCAGTTCATGGTAGCGGATATTGAGAGATGTGGACAGATTTAAGATATATTTGGGGGGGAAAGGTCATAGGACTTGATGTATAGAAGAAGGAATGAAATGGACAGATGTCAAGAATATGCTATGTGCTACGTGGAAAAACTAGAAAAGGAGTATGTTTTGTGGAGGCAATGAATTTACTTTTGCATTTGTTCTCAGCAGTATCTTTGAGACATCAAAGTAGAGATGTAGGGGCACCTGGGTGGCTCAGTTGTTGGGCCTATGCCTTCGGCTTGGGTCATGGTCCTGGGGTCCTGGGATCAAGCCCCTGTTGGGCTCCCTGCTCAGCGGGAAGCCTGCTTCTCCCTCTCCCACTCCCCCTGCTTGTCTTCCCTCTCTCTCTCTGTCAAATAAATAAATAAAATCTTAAAAAAAAACCCAACAAAGTAGAGAGTAACATTGGTCATTGAGTCTACAGGTATAAAGTTGAGATGTTCTCCATGAGAGACGATGGACTCTAAGAAACAAACTGAGGGTTCTAGAGGGGAGGGGGTTGGGAGGATGGGTTAGCCTGGTGATGGGTATTAAAGAGGGCACGTTCTGCATGGAGCACTGGGTGTTATGCACAAACAATGAATTATGGAACAGTACATCAAAAATTAATGATGTAATGTATGGTGATTAACATAACAATAAAAAATTTTTTAAAAAGTTGAGATGTTCTCTCTGGCCCAAAGATACAAATTCTAAGTCATCAGAATTAGATTGTATATGAAACAATGGGAATAAAAGTTATGATCTAGGGAGAGAATGGAGAGAGAGAAGAAATAAGGAGATAGGCTTAAAAGAACTGGTAGGAAAGACCACAGGAAAAGTGGGTGAGGATCATATATGGAAGCCTAGGGAAAGAGGTGGTTTGAGGAGAAAAGGCCAATTAGGTCAAAAGTTGATGGGTGTCTTAGTAAGATGAGAATGAAAAATATCTCTCAGGATGCCTGGGCAGCTCAGTTGGTCAAGTGTCCTACTCTTGATTTTGGCTCAGGTCATGATCTCAGGGATATGAGATTGAGTCCCACACTGGGCTCATACTGAGCACGGAGCCTGCTTCAGCATCTCTCTTGCCCTCTCCCTCTGCCCCTCCCTCCCAGCTCACACTCTCTCTCTTAAAAAAGAAGAAGAAGAAGAAGAAGAAGAAGAAGAAGAAGAAGAAGAAGAAGAAGAAGGAAAGAAGAAGAAGAAGAAGAAAAGAAGAAGAAGAAGAAGAAGAAGAAGAAGAAGAAGAAGAAGAAAAGAAGAAGAAAAAGAAGGAAAAGAAGAAGAAAAAGAAGGAAAAGAAGAAGAAGAAAAGAAGAAGAAAAAGAAGGAAAAGAAGAAGAAGAAAAGAAGAAGAAAAGAAGAAGAAAAAGAAGGAAAAGAAGAAAAGAAGAAGAAAAAGAAGGAAAAGAAGAAGAAAAAGAAGAAGAAAAAGAAGGAAAAGAAGAAGAAAAAGAAGAAGAAAAGAAGAAAAAGAAGAAAAGAAGAAAAAGAAGAAAAGAAAAATATGGAGTGCACTGGTGGCCTTAACCAAAACCAGAGAAGTGGACCATGGTGGGTGGAGGGTGGGGGAAGTCCTAAAGACCTCAGGAATGAGGAATGCCAGCTGAGTAGATGATATCAAGTCAGGAAGCTGCCCTCATCCTCACTCTGATGTCTTGGTGTTTCAAAAGGTTCCTGAAGTATTCCCATATTGCCTGGGATTGGGTCTCCATGCCCTAGTGGAATGGAAGCTTGAAATCGAGATGAAGTTCATTTGTAAAAGAAAGCTGCCTGTCTTCACAATGTCTGGGCGCTGAGATTCATCTTGCTACAATGAAATTACAAACATTTTAGCAGTATTGTGGATTTCCGCTCTCCAATGAATATTTGAATACATATTTTCAAACTACTTGAGGTAGCTGACAGTGCAGGGAATAACCAGGAAGGTGTTTCTCCCAAACAGTTTTGGTATTTAAGATGATACATTCTTAATAGAATCTCTCTTTTTTGTTTTTACAGGTATGCTTAATCACATCGTTTACAAATATTCGCCAAAATCACTCTAACAAAATTATTTTTAAAGACCTGTCGCATTATGCAACATTATATGTTAAAGAAATACAGCTGTGGATTTATATCCTATTATTTATTGATAGTAGTTAGGGGTACTCTCCTTTCCCTAAGCCTCACGTTTCCAAGTGGAGGGACTTTAATATGGTGGGAAATCTATTTGAGTCCTTCTGGCGTCCCTCTGCCACCTCCCTCACACCGCCAAGGTGTCAGATCGGTGAGTTTGGGAGGAGAAAGGGCTCCATAGCCTAACTTGTTCTACTACCCATTTTCTTTCATCTCTGCTCCTTGCGCCACTGTTTTTACCTCAAGAGGCTCTGTCCCTAGGAAGCAGGCCTGCAGTCTTTTGCTGTCCCAAGGGCTGGGTAAGGCTACCAGGAAGCCCACTGTGACTGCACCACGGAACTCCATTCTCCAGAGCTTCTGCCTCACTCCGTGTCTACCTCTCCACTGGCCTTGAATCCATGGGTGATGAGGGATGCTATTGGGGATCCCCTCAATTTCCAACAAGCATGTCCTCACTATTTAATGTTTCTGGGGAGAAACAGCACACAAAATAGTTACTGATCATTCACTTCACTATCCTGGACCTATACAGACAGATTGACAAATAAAAAGATGGGCTCTTCATATATTTTGTTTATATAAGTTTATATATTTTGACAATTTTGTGGACACCTAATCAAAGGTTAGCACCTCATGAAATGAAACAGATATAGGTGCATTATGTGTTTTGATCAAATGCAGACAAGCCCTAGGATGTATTATGTAATTCAGTAAGCAAGCGGTTTTTCTTTTTAGGCACCTAGTTGCCTGACTCTATAAAATGCATGTGTAAGTAATTAAATTATGTCATGTACGTAAAAGTGTTTTATTTAATTCAAAATATTATGCACATATAAATGGTAAGCTATTATTTTGGTTATAATTATTCCAAACTTAACACCCTTTCTCTATTCCCACCTGAGCATTTAATACATCAGGCATGGACTGGTTATATAGGATACAAGAACAGCCACCTCCTTTTCCAATTCTAGAATAATTATTATCAAGTAAATTTTGTCAAGTAGAAGTTAACATATTATTCTTGCATTCCAACTAGCAGTCTTTAACCGACAGGAAAATCAATGCCATTTCCTCAACAGCAAATTATATTCCACTTCTGTACATTATAGCACTTTTCTTGGGAGTTGATAAATAAGGGAAAAATACTTATGGTCATTTAACTTAGTAGGATTTACTTAAATGAACTGCCAGAAAGAACTTGACTCTTAAAATAATTGATTTTTCTCTACATCAGATGAAAAATGTACAATAGAGTAAATGAAAGTCTTTTAAATAAAAGTAATTTTCTGTTCATTAAAGGAAACATAAAATACACTATAAGATTGAATTATCCAAATCTTTGAAAAAAAAAAATTGCTTGCAGGTTATTAACCTATTTTAAAGCACAAAGCTTTAAAGAGCCTTCAGAGCATTTCCCAACCCCATCTGCCCCAAGATGAAGAAATTTTAAAACAAGTCATTATTATTACTCAGTGTTTTTGCTACCTACGGATGCAGTGAAATAGCTGAAGGTGTGTAAGTGATTTGAAAATGACAACTCTCATCACAGGCAATGGCATCAGGGAGACCCAGGGGAAAAAATCCATACTGACCTCACTACTGTTTAACTCCTATCGACAGTTGTCACTCAAACTGTGATATCACATAAAAGCTTTCCGATCTGTGGCTTACGTTTCCATAGTAGGGCAAAATCCTATTACCTTCTGACCCACCTCTCAGACACCCATTCTCTCCTCTTCAGGTTTGCAAACCACTGACAGCTTCTCCGGCAAAATGTTTTCTACTCAGGTTGGTTCTTGTTATCATTCCATCTTCAAACCTTCTTCTGAGAAATCATCAATTGTATAGAATGATATGCAGGTTGATTATGTTTTTCCCAAAGTTAAATTACGTAGCACCCAGCTCCGTTTCATTGCCATCCCCTACCTTCACTGGTTTCACTTAATTTTTCCATAGCTGGAACTTTACTGGTATCCAAATTGTCAGTTTTTGAATTTAATTTTAATATATTTCAAACATTTAGCTTGTCTAAGTATTCTTAAAATCTAGGAATAGAAGAGATTAGTTGTGGGTTCCACAAACATGGCTTATCATTTAGAAAATGTGTGGAATTTATAGACAGTGGTCTACAGTTCTCTGTTCTGAAGAAATTGGTTAAAAAGTAAAAAAGGTAAAAAATTCAGCTTATTTTTGCTCATTTATATGATGTGAGATGATATGCATTCCTTAGTATCTCACCAAACTTTAGGTCTGTATTTGTAGACAGAGTCTAGGATGGGAGGAATAGCAATAGTGTCTTCTAAGAGTTCATCTGAGGTCAGTCCAGTGAGAGAGGTAGAGAGAGTGATAACCTGAGCCAAAGGCAGACAAGCGCTTAACCGACTGAGCCACCTAGGAGCCCCTAGAGAGAGTGATATTTATAGGTGTTTTATAACAGAGGAAACTAATAAGGTCATAGTTTTGTCATTGTGCAATCTGCCAAAGGACAGTGATTCCTCACCCCGTTTGGTCACATGATTTGGCACATGAAGAAGGGGCCATTATGACATTTTCAAGTCATGTAATCCTCCAAAATCATTAATTCATTCAAAAATATTTATTTAAAATCTATTAGGTGCTTGAATCATTCCTTTTACCTACTTGTCCTTTTCTGTTCCTTTCATCAACTTTACTCCTACTCATCCTTGACTATTTAGGGCAGATATTAGTGCCCCCACCTTTCTTTACCCCTGCTTTCCTGGTGGAATGAATCCTATTATCCCTGAATTTCTTCTTTTAAATAACATTTTTATTTAGATATAATTCATGTATCACAAAATTCATTATTTTAAAGAGTACAATTCAATAGTATTTCAGATATTCACTGGGTCATACATTGATCCCCACTATCTAATTCCAGGGTATTTTTATCACCCCAAAACAAATCCCATACCATTATCACTTACTTCTCACTCCCTCCTTGCCCCCAGCTCTTGGCAACCACAAATTTACATTCTGTCTCTGTGGATTGGCCTATTTTGTATATTTCATATAATAGAGTCACAATATGTGGCATTTTGTGCCTGGTTTCTTTCACTTAATATTTTTAAGAGTCACCCATGTTATAGCATGGCATTCCTTTTTATTGCCAAATAATATTCCATTGTATGGATATACCATATTTTGTTTATTTATTCATCAGTCGATGGTAATTCAGTGCGGTTCCCACTTTTTGGCTATTATGAATAACGCTGCCGTGCACACTGAAATACCAATTTTGTGGGAACATCTGTTTTCAGTTCTCTTGGGTAGACACCTGGGAGTGGAGTTGCTGGGTCATATGGTAACTCTATGTTTAACATTTCAAGGAACAGACAACCTGTTGTCCAAAGTAGCTGCACCACTTTACCATCCCACCAGCGACACATGAATTTCTCTACATCCTTGGCAACACTTGTAATTGTTCATCTTTATTATTATAGTCATCTTAGTGAGTATAAAGGACTACCTCATTGTAGTTTTGCACTGACTAGCAATTAGTCATGTTCCTCAGCATGACTAATGACACTGAGCAGTTTCTTATCTATATAGGGAGATTCTTAATTGTGGGATCCAAATATTATTTATTTTACTATTTCTAGTAACAAATATAAACTGGCACATAGTAGGAACACAATAATGTTTACAAAAGGAATGAATACGTATTTAATTTTTAACAATACTGTGCTTTGAATTACTCATAAGAAAGATCCTAAGTACATAATGTCTATTATAAATATTCTTCTCAAAAATATCTCACTGATATCATTGATTTCGTTCTATTGCAAACACATTGATATCATTCTATTGATTGATCGATAGATATAGATATAAACACACACGCATACACACACACACAAATATGGATTCTTTAAACCTATTTTTAATAACCAGTTTAAAATATGTGTTTTTTAAATGATGGCTTACTTATATTTTTCTTCTTAAAAATCAATTTTAGACAAACAGTATGTCAGGGCTCTTCATGGGAACAAAGTTTAACTAAGATTGGGTTGTAGCTATGTGTCAGCCAAGTTGATTACAGGGCCAGAAAACTAAGGCTTGGTGTTTGTGGAAGGCAGAGGCAGATATGGATCTTGCATGAGAGCCTGTCCCCTGAAATTAGAGATGGAAGAGAGATATGGATTTATTTTTCAGGATATGTTCCTTCCTAGATGTCAGGTGCCATTTGTCACACCACAGATTTTTGCTGTCTATCAGGATCTAGGAAAAAAGGTATTTCAGAGTTTCTTTCCATATGGCATTTTATCCAAAGGAGCAGTCTCAATTCCTCTGAGAAGTTTAGAAAGTTTGAGAAAAAAGCCAAACTGTGGACGTGCCGCAGTATCCACTGGGTTAGTTCTGTATCTCAGCTGTTGTCTAACTTAAGAATTTACATTAATTTAATTACTTTTCAGAATGATTTCAATAAATCTTGTGTCTATGATCTAAGCCTAACCCCAATAGCTGTAAAAATTTTTTTTTCAAAGGTGGCAAATCCACTACGAGTGAGTAACTCAAAAACTAGGAGAATGCATTCATTAAGAGTTGCCCATGAGAATATAGTTTGACAAAATATTTCAAAAACCTAAAAAAATGGACATACCTAGTGATGCAGGAAGCTTATTTTTAGGGTTGTAACTTTAGGAAATAATTAGACAATTGTGCAATGATTTATGAACATAGATGTTCATGATAGCATTGTTTAAGATAGAGAAAAACTGTAAACAGTAATCTAACAATAGGGGGTTGACTTACTAAATTATAGTACATACACGTATCCATCTTGTAGAAGACTATTTAGTGATGTAGAAATTTTCAAGACATATGAAGTTAAAAAACAGAGTATAAAACATGCATGTTGCAATCAATCCTTTTTAAAACTATATATGTATAGGTATATACATTTACATAAAGGAAAATATTGAACTCTGAGCAGTGACATACTAGCAGCTTATATATTCTATTTTTTTAAAGATTTTATTTATTTATTTGACAGAGAGAGAGAGAAATAAAGAGCACAGGCAGGGGGAGCAGCAGAGGGAGAGGGAGAAGCAGACTCCCTGCTGACCAAAGAGCCCGATGTGGGAATTGATCCCCAGACCCTGGGATCATGACCTGAGCTGAAAACAGATGCTTCACCTCCTGAGCCACCGAGGCATCCCGCAGCTTATATATTCTTATTTGTGCTTTTTTGGGTCCACTTTTATAATTAAGAATTTATTATTAGGGGCACCTTGGTGGCTCAGTTGGTTGAGCATCTGTCTTTGGCTCAGGTCATGATTCCAGGGTCCTGGGATCAAGTCCCACATCAGGCTCCCTGCTCGGTGGGGAGCCTGTTTCTCCCTCTCCCACTCCCCCTGCTTGTGTTCCCTCTCTCTCTCTGTCAAATAAATAAGTAAAAAATCTTAAAAAAAAAAGAATTTATTCTTAAGTGGCACATTACTTAAAAAAAGAAAAAAACAGAATTCCTGGTGAGATACTATATACATAAGATGCCCAGATCTTAGGAGACAATATTATAAATAGGACTGATTTCATGGAAGTATTGATATGCATGATATGAGAGATGTACAAACACACACACACACGCAAACAAAAATATACAGTAAATTACTTTTTGAGACCACTTTCAGCTTTGGCTTTCTGTCTTAATTATTAAATTGAAGAGGCTAATAAGAAATTTTGGAGGGCATTTCTATTCCACAGTCTCATATTTCCCTGACTCTCAGTCCTGGACCCGCTCTTGCCCCTGAGAGGTATCATAAGGCTAGCTCTGTCCCTCTGGGCTTCTCTCTCCCTTTGTAAAGGGCCCTGTTCACAGGACTCATTCTCAGCTCCTCTCTTCAGTGATCTCCCTGGGGCAGTCTCTTGGACGCTATTTCTCTCCAGTGGTGTCTGTGTAGACAAGATGGTCTAAAAACCATTGTGTTGCAGAGCCAGAGTTATATTCATATCCTCAAATCCAGCTTCACTCGGTAATAAATATGATCTTTAAAATCTATGTCTACATACACAAGTAACTGTTTTCTGATATGCTGTCAATGAACAATTTGAATTTGAAATAAAACACTACCTTTTGCATTAGTACCAAAAACAAAAAGAAATACTTAGGTATAAATCTAATAAAATATGTACAAAATCTATATGAAGGAAACTGTGAAATTCTGATCAAAAGAAATCAAAGGAGATCTAAATAAATCCCTATAATTTAAATAATCCATGTATGTGGACAAGAAGACTCGACATTGTCAAAATGTCAGTTCTTCCCAACTTGATCTATAGATTCACTGCAATCCCAATCAAAATTGTAGCAAGTTATTTTGTGGATATTGATAAACTGATTTTGAAGTTTATATGGAAAGGCAAAGGACCCAGAATAGCCAACGCAGTATTGAAGGAGAAGAACAAAGTCAGAGAACTGACAGTACCTGACTTCAAGACTTACTATAAAGCTACAGTAATCAAGACAATGTGGTATTGGAGAAAGAACAGACAAATAGATCAATGGAATAGAACAGAGAGCCCAGAAATAGACTACATAGAGTCAACTGATCTTTGACAAATGAGCAAAGGGAATACAATGGAACAATGATAGTCTTTTCAACAAATAGTGCTGGAACATGTGAATATTCACCTGCAAAAATGAATCTAGATCCAGACCTTACATCTTTCACAAAAATTAACACAAAATGGATTAAATGTAAAATGCAAAAGCATAAAACTCCTAGAAGATAACACAGGAGAAAATTAAGATGACTTTGAGCTTGGCAATGACATTTTAAATACAATATCAAAAGCATGATTCATGAAAGAAAAAAATAAGATAAATTGGACTTCATTAAAATTAGAAATGTCTAATTAGAAATTAGAAATATTTAAATTAAAATTAGAAACTTGTACTCTGTAAAAGACACTGTGAAGAAAATCAGAAGACAAGGGGTGCCTGGGTGGCTCAGTAGTTAAGCATCTGCCCTCAGCTAAGGTCATGATCCCAGGGTCCTGGGATCGAGCCCCACGTTGGGCTCCCTGCTCCGCGGGAAGCCGGCTTCTCCCTCTCCCACTCCCCTTGCTTGTGTTCCCTCTCTTGCTGTCTCTGTCAAATAAATAAATAAATAAATAAATAAATAAATAAATAAATAAATAAACCTCATTCCAATGTTCAAAAGGAGGCAAAAATGCAATATCCAATTCAACCAGATCAAAGCCGAATACTAAGTAAATAAAAAGAAAGACATTATAGAGATACTCTTGAACCACAGGCTGAATATTTGGAGGTGAACCATCCTTTCCGTTTAAGATCATCTGCAGACACATAAGATGCTTCTGGAAAAACAATAATAATGACATCCTTATAAAGAGCAACAAAA